GACAGATGTGCTATTACTGCTGACTTGAACCTCTAGAAACTTCCTTGCCTGGCCTGAAAAGACCTGACTAACTCCTACCCTCAAAAGATCTAATTTTAATCTCAGAGGACCTACTCCCTGCCCACAATGCTCTGAGGGGATTTTCCTAATATTTTAGGTTAGAGTGTTTTTCCACCTCCTTGTTTCTGCAAACTGTAGTGGAGTTGTTTTCCTGTGTTTAGATCTCACATGAGAAGCTAGGAGTGTTTTCTTAGTCTGTCACCTGAATGCTATGCATGGCATAAATAAAACTGGGCTGAAAGCTTTGGTTTCTGTTAATTCAGGAGAACTGTAGGGACTTGCTAGCAGAGCGGGAGAAGAGGAGCAGGGAAGAGATTGGTACAGTCCTTACAGCTAAATATAAATAGTTCTCTTATTTCAGTCTGAACTTTTGCGTGATTTGACCTTTCTTTGGTAAAAGCTTTCTTTATTTTCAAGAATGAAAGGGCAAGGGGGAGAAAAGGACATAGCGGACTGTATTTTTTTAAATATCCTACAATCCTGGCGGTGGGTTTCTGCAGTACCCAGCGCTTGCTGTTGAACCAGCTCCGCCCTAGACTCCAACTTCTCTCCTTCTCCGAGTTCTATGAATGAACTTTGCATTTTACTCTAAAGCATTAACCAGAAGATTTCAAAGGGGCTTTATGGAAGCAGGTTTTCTCCCAGGGAGACCCCGCGCTGACAGGGACGGGCATCCTGGGCTCCAGTCCACGGTGGATCCCTGAGCAAGAGGCTTGGTTTGTGCCCATCACACCACTAACCTTAGGTTTTCCTTACTTCATAACTTCAGCTGGAAGAAATATTTGGGTTCAATTCTGCTGGTTTTTCACCTGAGCTCAGCTTCCAAGCCTGGCTCTGTTTGACGCGTAAAGCCACGGAGCTCTCTGGCTGCGGTCAGGCTGGCAGCCTGTGCGAGGGGATGTGCAGGTGCAGTGTTTGTAACTGCTCCAGACTACGCGCAAAGCTCTCTGGCACTAGTTTTAACCATTAATTGCCACTTTAAATCCAGCAATAAATTATTTGGGCAACCACATTGCCTGAGCCCGCTGCCAAAAATAAACCAGAGCCTGAGAATTACTCAGCTCCTCTTCATCCTTCAGGATATTGCAGCTGGATGGGGTTGAGGCACCTCCTGGACTCAGTCTGATGGGGATTTTTTGGTGTCTCGCTTATCTTCCGGACATGTTTTAAACCATCGTTCGGCAGATGATGTTAGCACTCAAAATGCCGTGCGTGCATGTGTTGTTTTGCCGTTTACTTCTGAAGCACGGGCTTTGTGTGGCGTGGTGGTGTGCAGGAA